CGTCACCGTCACCACGCTAACCACGTCACCGTCACCACGTTAACCATCACCACGTTAACCACGTCACCGTCACCACGTTAACCGTGTCACCGTCACCACGTTAACCGTGTCACCACGTTAACCGTGTCACCACGTTAACCGCGTCACCGTCACCACGTTAACCGTGTCACCACGTTAACCGTGTCACCGTCACCACGTTAACCGTGTCACCACGTTAACCGCGTCACCACGTTAACCGCGTCACCGTCACCACGTTAACCGTGTCACCGTCACCACGTTAACCGCGTCACCGTCACCACGTTAACCGTCACCACGTTAACCGTGTCACCGTCACCACGTTAACCGTGTCACCACGTTAACCGTGTCACCGTCACCACGTTAACCGTCACCACTTTAACCGTGTCACCGTCACCACGTTAACCGTGTCACCGTCACCACGTTAACCGTCACCACTTTAACCGTGTCACCGTCACCACGTTAACCGTGTCACCACGTTAACCGTGTCACCGTCACCACGTTAACCGCGTCACCGTCACCACGTTAACCGTGTCACCGTCACCACGCTAACCATGTCACCGTCACCACGTTAACCACGTCACCGTCACCACGTTAACCGTGTCACCGTCACCACGTTAACCGTGTCACCACGTTAACCGTGTCACCGTCACCACGCTAACCGTGTCACCGTCACCACGTTAACCGTGTCACCGTCACCACGTTAACCATGTCACCGTCACCACGTTAACCGTGTCACCGTCACCACGTTAACCGCGTCACCGTCACCACGTTAACCGTGTCACCGTCACCACGCTAACCGCGTCACCGTCACCACGCTAACCGCGTCACCGTCACCACGCTAACCGCGTCACCGTCACCACGTTAACCGTGTCACCACGTTAACCGTGTCACCGTCACCACGTTAACCGTGTCACCACGTTAACCGTGTCACCGTCACCACGTTAACCGTGTCACCACGTTAACCGCGTCACCACGTTAACCGTGTCACCGTCACCACGTTAACCGTGTCACCGTCACCACGTTAACCGTGTCACCACGTTAACCGCGTCACCGTCACCACGTTAACCATGTCACCGTCACCACGTTAACCGCGTCACCGTCACCACGTTAACCACGTCACCGTCACCACGTTAACCGTGTCACCGTCACCAACTTAACCGTGTCACCGTCACCACGTTAACCCGCGTCACCGTCAACCAGGCTAACCCGCCGGTTGCCCGTGGCGACGGCTACCTGCAGGTCGCTGGTGCCCAGCCACAGCAGTCCGCTGTCGGTGTAGATGGCCACTCGCGACTGGCCAGGTGACCAGCCAGCACACCACGTTAACCGTGTCACCGTCACCACGCTAACCATGTCACCACCGTCACCACGCTAACCATTTCACCAGTCACCACGCTAACCATGTCAACCGTCACCCACGTTAACCGTGTCAACCACGTTAACCGTGTCACCGTCACCAACGTTAACCGCGTCAACCGTCACCACGTTAACCGTGGTCACCGTCACCACGTTAACCATGTCCACCGTCACCGACGTTAACCGTGTCACCGTCACCACAGTTAACCGTGTCACCGTCACCACGTTAACCGCGTCACCGTCACCACGTTAACCGTGTCACCACGTTAACCGTGTCACCGTCACCACGTCACCAGTCACCACGTTAACCGTGTCACCACGTTAACCGTGTCACCGTCACCACGTTAACCGTGTCACCACGTTAGACCGTGTCACCACGTCACCGTCACCACGTTAACCGTCACCACGCTAACCCGCCGGTCGCCGTGGCGACGGCTACCTGCAGGTCCGCTGGTGCCCAGCCACAGCAGTCCGCTGTCGGTGTAAGATGGCCACTCGCGACTGTCCAGGTGACACAGCCAGCAACACCACGTTAACCGTGTCACCGTCACCACGCTAACCATGTCACCGTCACCCACGCTAACCATGTCACCGTCACCACGCTAACCATGTCACCGTCACCACGTTAACCGTGTCACCAACGTTAAACCGTGTCAACCGTCACCACGTTAACCGCGTCACCGTCACCACGTTAACCGTGGTCACCGTCACCACGTTAACCCATGTCACCGTCACCACGTTAACCGTGTCCACCGTCACCCACGTTAACCGTGTCACCGTCACCACGTTAACCGCGTCACCGTCACCACGTTAACCGTGTCACCACGTTAACCGTGTCACCGTCACCACGTCCACCGTCACCACGTTACCGTGTCACCACGTTAACCGTGTCACCGTCACCACGTTAACCGTGTCACCACGTTACCGTGTCAACCGACGTCACCGTCACCGACGTTAACCGTCACCAACGCTAAACCCGCCGTCGCCGTGGCGACGGCTACCTGCAGGTCGCTGGTGCCCAGCCACAGCAGTCCGCTGTCGGTGTAGATGGACACTCGCGACTGCCAGGTGACACAGCCCAGCAACAACCCACGTTTAACCGTGTCAACCGTCACCACGCTAACCATGTCACCGTCACCACGCTAACCATGTCACCGTCACCACGCTAACCATGTCCCGTCACCACGTTAACCGTGTACACACGTTAACCGTGTCACCGTCACCACGTTAACCGCGTCACCGTCACCACGTTACCGTGTCACCGTCACCACGTTAACCATGTCACCGTACACCACGTTAACCGTGTCACCGTCACCACGTTAACCGTGTCCACCGTCACCACGTTAACCGCGTCACCGTCACCACGTTACCGTGTCACCACGTTAAACCGTGTCACCGTCACCACGTCACCGTCACCACGTTAACCGTGTCACCGTCACCACGTTAACCATGTCCCGCCACCGACGCTAACCGTGTCACCGTCACCACGTTAACCGTGTCACCGTCACCCACGTTAACCATGTCACCGTCACCACGTTTAACCGTGTCACCTACGTTTAACCGTGTCAACCGTCACCACGCTAACCATGTCACCGTCACCACGTTAACCGTGTCACCGTCACCACGTTAACCGTGTCACCGTCACCACGACTTAACCGCGTCAACCGTCACCACGTTAACCGTGTCACCACGTTAACCCGTGTCACCGTCACCACGTCACCGTCACCACGTTAACCGTGTCACAACGTTAACCGTGTCACCGTCACCACGTTAACCGTGTCACCACGTTACCGTGTCCCACGTCACCGTCACCACGTTAACCGTCACCACGCTAACCCGCCGGTCGCCGTGGCGACGGCTACCTGCAGGTCGCTGGTGCCCAGCCACAGCAGTCCGCTGTCGTGTAGATGGCCACTCGCGACTGGCCAGGTGACACAGCCAGCAACACCACGTTAACCGTGTCAACCGTCACCACGTTAACCGTGTCACCGTCACCACGTTAACCCGTCACCGTCACCACGTTAACCGTGTCACCGTCACCCACGTTAACCATGTCACCGTCACCACGTTAACCGTGTCACCGTCACCACGTTAACAGCGTCAACCGTCACCCACGTCACCGTCACCACGTTAACCGTGTCACCACGTTAACCGTGTCACCACGTCACCGTCACCACGTTACCGCGTCACCGTCACCACGCTAACCCGCCGGTCGCCGTGGGCGACGGCTACCTGCAGGTCGCTGGTTGCCCAGCCACAGCAGTCCGCTGTCGGTGTAGATGGCCACTCGCGACTGGCCAGGTGACACAGCCAGCAACACCACGTTAACCGCAGTCACCGTCACCACTTAACCGTGTCACCGTCACCACGTCACCACGTTAACCGTGTCACCGTCACCACGTCACCGTCACCACGTTACCACGTCACCGTCACCACGTTAACCACGTCACCGTCACCACGTTAACCGTGTCACCTACGTTAACCGTGTCAACCGTCACTCATGTTAACCGCGTCAACCGTCACCACGCTAACCCGCCGGTCGCCGTGGCGACGGCTACCTGCAGGTCGCTGGTGCCCAGCCACAGCAGTCCGCTGTCGGTGTAGATGGCCACTCGCGACTGGCCAGGTGACACAGCCAGCAACACCACGTTAAACCGTGTCACCACGTTAACCGTGTCACCGTCACCACGTCACCCAACGTTAACCGTGTCACCGTCACCACGTCACCGTCACCACGTTAACCACGTCACCGTCACCACGCTAACCCGCCGGTCGCCGTGGCGACGGCTACCTGCAGGTCCGCTGGTGCCCAGCCACAGCAGTCCGCTGTCGGTGTAGATGGCCACTCGCGACTGGCCAGGTGACACAGCCAGCAACACCACGTTAACCGTGTCACCGTCACCACGCTAACCATGTCACCCGTCACCACGCTAACCATGTCACCGTCACCACGCTAACCATGTCACCGTCACCACGCTAACCATGTCACCGTCACCAACGCTAAACCATGTCACCGTCACCACGCTAACCATGTCACCGTCACCAACGTTAACCATGTCACCGTCACCACGCTAACCACGTCACCGTCACCCACGTTAACCGTGTCACCGTCACCACGCTAACCATGTCACCGTCACCACGTTAACCGCGTCAACCGTCACCCACGTTAACCATGTCACCGTCACCACGTTAACCGTGTCACCGTCACCACGTTAACCGCGTCACCGTCACCACGTTAACCGTGTCACCGTCACCCGACGCTAACCCGCCGGTTTGCCGTGGCGACGGCTACCTGCAGGTCGCTGGTGCCCAGCCACAGCAGGTCCCGCTGTCGGTGTAGATGGCCAGCTCGCGACTGGCCAGGTGACACAGCCAGCAACACCACGTTAACCGTGTCACCGTCACCGACGCTAACCATGTCACCGTCACCAACGCTAACCATGTCACCGTCACCACGCTAACCATGTCACCGTCACCACCGCTAACCATGTCACCGTCACCACGCTAACCATGTCACCGTCACCACGCTAACCATGTCACCGTCACCACGTTAACCATGTCACCGTCCCGACGCTAACCACGTCACCGTCACCACGTTACCGTGTCACCGTCACCACGCTAACCATGTCACCGTCACCCACGTTAACCGCGGTCACCGTCACCACGTTAACCATGTCACCGTCACCACGTTAACCGTGTCACCGTCACCACGTTAACCGCGTCACCGTCACCACGTTAACCGTGTCACCGTCACCACGCTAACCCGCCGGTTGCCGTGGCGACGGCTACCTGCAGGTCGCTGGTGCCCAGCCACAGCAGTCCGCTGTCGGTGTAGATGGACACTCGCGACTGGCCAGGTGACACAGCCAGCAACACCACGTTAACCGTGTCACCGTCACCAACGCTAACCATGTCACCCGTCACCACGCTAACCATGTCACCGTCACCACGCTAACCATGTCACCGTCACCAACGCTAACCATGTCACCGTCACCACGCTAACCATGTCACCGTCACCACGCTAACCATGTCACCGTCACCACGTTAACCATGTCACCGTCACCACGCTAACCACGTCACCGTCACCAACGTTAACCGTGTCACCGTCACCGACGCTAACCATGTCACCGTCACCACGTTAACCGCGTCACCGTCACAACGTTAACCATGTCACCGTCACCACGTTAACCGTGTCACCGTCACCAACGTTAACCGCGTCACCGTCACCACGTTAACCGTGTCCACCGTCACCACGCTAACCCGCCGGTTGCCGTGGCGACGGCTACCTGCAGGTCGCTGGTGCCCAGCCACAGCATTCCGCTGTCGGTGTAGATGGCCACTCGCGACTGGCCAGGTGACACAGCCAGCAACACCACGTTAACCGTGTCACCGTCACCACGCTAACCATGTCACCGTCACCACGCTAACCATGTCACCGTCACCACGCTAACCATGTCACCGTCACCACGCTAACCCATGTCCCGTCACCACGCTAACCATGTCACCGTCACCACGCTAACCATGTCACCGTCACCACGTTAACCATGTCACCGTCACCACGCTAACCACGTCACCGTCACCACGTTAACCGTGTCACCGTCACCACGCTAACCATGTCACCGTCACCACGTTAACCGCGTCACCGTCACCACGTTAACCATGTCACCGTCACCACGTTAACCGTGTCACCGTCACCACGTTAACCGCGTCACCGTCACCACGTTAACCGTGTCACCGTCACCACGCTAACCCGCCGGTTGCCGTGGCGACGGCTACCTGCAGGTCGCTGGTGCCCAGCCACAGCAGTCCGCTGTCGGTGTAGATGGCCACTCGCGACTGGCCAGGTGACACAGCCAGCAACACCACGTTAACCGTGTCACCGTCACCACGCTAACCGTGTCACCGTCACCACGCTAACCATGTCACCAGTCACCACGCTAACCATGTCACCGGTCACCACGCTAACCATGTCACCGTCACCGACGCTAACCATGTCACCGTCACCACGCTAACCATGTCCACCGTCACCACGTTAACCATGTCACCGTCACCACGCTAACCACGTCACCGTCACCAACGTTAACCGTGTCACCGTCACCACGCTAACCATGTCACCGTCACCGACGTTAACCGCGTCAACCGTCACCACGTTAACCATGTCACCGTCACCACGTTAACCGTGTCACCGTCACCACGTTAACCGCGTCACCGTCACCCACGTTAACCGTTCACCGTCACCACGCTAACCCGCCGGTTGCCGTGGCGACGGCTACCTGCAGGTCGCTGGTGCCCAGCCACAGCAGTCCGCTGTCGGTTGTAGATGGCCACCTCGCGACTGGCCAGGTGACACAGCCAGCAACACCACAGAGCACGAGCTCAGAGACAGACCGGCTGGGGGACTGGGGGGGGGTGAGGGAGGGGGGGGTGAGGGGGGGGGGGGGTGAGGGGGGGGGGGGTGAGGGGGGGGGGGGTGAGGGGGGGGTGGGGGGTAAAGACAAAGATCCCCCAGGTGGACTCGACAGGCTGACAGAGGCAAGTGCTGTGGAGGAGGGTCTATGCACTTAGGTCACACACGGAGACACACAGAGACACACACAGAGACACAGAGACACACAGAGACACACAGAGACACACAGAGACACACACAGAGACACACACAGACACAGAGACACACACAGAGACACAGAGACACACACAGAGACACACAGAGACACACAGAGAGACACAGAGACACACACACAGACACACAGAGACACACAGAGACACACACAGAGACACGCACAGAGACACACACAGAGACACACAGAGACACACAGACACACAGAGACACACAGAGACACACACAGACACACACAGACACACAGAGACACACAGAGACACACAGAGACACACACAGAGACACACACAGAGACACACAGACACAGAGACACAGAGACACACACAGAGAGACACGGAGACACACAGAGACACAGAGACACACAGAGACACACAGAGACACACAGAGACACACAGAGATACACAGAGACACACAGAGATACACACAGACACAGAGACACACAGAGACACACAGAGACACACACACAGAGACACAGACACACAGACACCCAGAGATACACAGACACACACAGACACACAGAGACACACAGAGACACACACAGACACACAGAGATACACACAGACACAGAGACAAAGATCCCCCAGGTGGACTCGACAGGCTGACAGAGGCAAGTGCAGTGGACGAGGGTCTATGCAGTAGTCACGCACGGAGACACACAGAGAGACACACAGAGATACACAGAGACACACAGAGACACACAGAGACACACACAGAGACACACAGAGACACAGAGACACACAGAGAGACACAGAGACACACACAGACACAGACAGACACAGACACAGAGACACACAGAGATACACAAAGACACACAGAGACACACACAGAGACACACAGAGACACACAGACACAGAGAAACACACAGAGAAACACAGAGACACACACAGACACAGAGACACACAGAGACACACACACAGAGACACACAGAGACACACAGAGACACACACACAGAGACACACACACAGAGACACACAGACACACACACAGAGACGCACACAGACACACAGAGACACACACAGACACAGAGACACACACAGAGATACACAGAGACACACAGACACACAGAGAGACACACAGAGACACACAGACAGAGAAACAGAGACACACACAGACACAGAGACACACACAGACACACACAGAGATACACAGAGACACAAACAGACACACAGAAACACACAGAGACACACACAGAGATACACACACAGACACACACGACACACAAACAGGAAACACAGAGACACACAGAGACACACAGAGACACACAGAGACACACAGAGACACACACACACAGAGACACACAGAGACACACAGAGATACACAGAGACACACACAGACACAGAGACACACAGAGATACACAGAGACAACACAGAGACACACAGAGACACACACACAGACACAGAGACACACAGAGACACACAGACACAGAGAAACACAGAGAAACACAGAGACAAACAGAGACACACACAGAGACACACAGAGACACACACAGACACACACAGAGACACAGACACAGAGACACACACAGACACAGAGACAGACACACAGAGACACCCAGAGATACACAGATACACAGAGACACACAGAGACACACACACAGACACAGAGACACACAGAGACACACACAGACACAGAGACAGACACACAGAGACACCCAGAGATACACAGATACACAGAGACACACAGAGACACACACACAGACACAGAGACACACAGAGACACACAGACACAGAGAAACACAGAGAAACACAGAGACAAACAGAGACACACACAGAGACACACAGAGACACACACAGACACACACAGAGACACACAGAGACACACACAGACACAGAGACAGACACACAGAGACACACAGAGATACACAGATACACAGAGACACACAGAGACACACAGAGACACACAGACAGAGACACACAGAGACACACAGAGACACACACAGAGACACACAGAGACACACAGAGACACACACAGAAACACACACACAGACACACACACATAAACACACAGATATACACAGACACACAGAGACACACACAGAAACACACAGAGACACACACAGAGATACACACACAGAGATACACAGAGACACACACACAGAGACAGACACACAGAGACGCACACAGACACACAGAGAGAGATACACACAGACACAGAGACACACAGAGACACACGAGACACACACAGACACAGAGACACACAGAGACACACACAGACACACACAGAGACACACACAGACACACACATAGATACAGACACAGACACACACACAGACACAGAGATACACAGAGACACACACAGACACAGAGACACACAGAGACACACAGAGACACACACAGAGACACACACAGACACAGAGACACACAGAGACACACAGAGACACACAGACACACAGAGATACACAGAGATACACAGAGACACACAGAGACACACAGAGACACACACAGAGATACACAGAGACACACACACAGACACAGAGACACACACACAGACACAGAGACACACACAGACACAGAGACACACAGAGACACACACAGACACACACAGACACACAGAGATACACAGAGACACAGACACACAGAAACACACAGAGACACACACAGAGATACACACACAGACACAGAGACACACAGACAGAGACACACAGAGACACACACAGACACAGAGACACACAGAGATACACAGAGACACACAGAGACACACAGAGACACACACACAGACACAGAGACACACAGAGACACACAGACACAGAGACAAAGATCCCCAAGGTGGACTCGACAGGCTGACAGAGGCAAGTGCTGTGGACGAGGGTCTATGCACTAGTCACGCACGGAGACACACACAGAGACACACAGACACACAGACACACACAGAGACACACACAGAGGCACACACACAGACACAGAGACACACAGAAACACACAGAGACACACAGAGACACACACAGAGACACACACACAGAGACACACAGACACACACAGAGACACAGAGAGACACACAGACACAGAAACACACAGAGACACACAGACACACACAGAGACACACAGAGACATACACAGACACACACAGAGATACACAGACACACACAGAGACACACAGAGAGACACACACACAGACACACACAGACACACACACAACAACAACCGCCATTCGCCACTAAGTGGCGGTGACGTCACCACGACGCTTGTGCCAGGCTATGTGCACCTTGAGGCCACGTGAAGTGTCGAACGCCCGCTGGCAGGAGGTCACGGGGCAGACCCAGCAGGTGCCACGGGTCGACTGACTGAGATGACTGGCTGATGCACCACCTGTGCCCCCTACTGTGCAACCTGCTGTGCTTTAGCCACCCCGGCGCTTCCGCTCGTTGTTGTGAGCGTCGCTCCTCCGCCCTCCGTTGTTGTTGGAGGGCGACTGCCTCCAACTGCCCAGTAGCGTCCTTCACGAGCCTCCTCCACAGAGGCCGATCTTGACACCGCTGGTACCGGTCATCGGCAAGATCCACTCAGCTCCACATCCTCCTGTACCACATCACTCCATCTCTTCTCTAGCCCGTGCCGCGCCCGTTTAGCCCGCTCGAATCCTGCCTAGAAAAGCTGTTTCGGCATGCGGTGGCTGGGCATGCGGGCTACATGACCGAGCCAATCGCAGCCCTTGCCCTCCGGAGGAGCTCACCGATGGGACCTTGCCCAGATCTTTCAAGGATTTGTGAGCTCCTCACACAATCCAGTCTGGTTAAACCCAGGATGGATCGTAGGCAGGCCAGCCTAAATGTTTCTAACCGCGAAGTATGTTCCATTAGGGGGTCCACGTTTCGCAAGCGTAGAGAAGGGAGGGAATGACCGTGGCCGAGAAGACCTGAAATCTTAGTGCGGAGCGACAGACCAGGTAGCTTCCACACAGCATTACGCAACCGATGAAAAGATATTGCCGCTCGACTGATTCGGAGACCACTGCTGTTAAACTGGAGCCGGTCATAAGCACAACTGCCCAGGTATGGGAAACTCTCCACTCGCTCCACAACCTGCCTCATCACCGATTGGGAGTTGTGGGGGTGGAGTGTCCGATGGTACAAAATACCCAGGCAGGTGCTTAGTTTTGGTGGGGCTGATGGTAAGGCCCCACCTCTTAGTGGCACGCTCCAGTCTCAGCAGCAGCGTCTCCAACTCCTCCTCTGAATGAGCAGCTATTACCAAAATCATCAGCATACATAACGTGGTTGACCAATAGGGGAGACATCCCTTGACCGCACCTGGGCATCGATCAGCCTCCCATTATATCTGTACCATATGGAGATTCCCCCGGTACAAGCTATTGAAGGCTTCACTTACGTGGTCAAAATAGATGTTAAATAATGTGGGAGCCAGAGGACATCCCTGTCGCACCCCAAGGTGTACAGGGAATGGCTCTGACTCCCGGCCACGCAGTTTTAACCCGGGCCTGCTTACCATCATGAAGATCATTAATGATCGTGAGCAGAGGGTCAGGTACTCCAAAAGCACGAAGAACTACCCAGAGCCCAGGCCTACTGATGGTATCATAGGCCTTGACCAGGTCAATAAAGCAGAGATGTAGGTCTTGTTGGAATTCCCTACACCTCTGCTGTAGCAGACGGACAGAAAATATGGCATCTGTGCAGGACCGCCCTTATCCTGAAACCGCATTTGGGGCTCTGCAAGCCTCTCCTCAGCGTGCCTGGCAAGGCGATGCTGAATAATCCTTGCCAGGACCTTTCCCGGCACACTGAGGAGTGAGATGCCCCTGTAGTTGTTACAGTCTGTGTGGTCCCCCTTCTTAAAAAAGGGGGACCACCAGGGCATCCTTCCAATCCTGCGGAACCCGTACAGTGGTCCAGACTGTTGTTATGCAGACACACACGACGCAGACACAGACACACACACAGATACAACAGACAAACACACACCCAGACACCCCAGAGACACGCAGACACACACGCGGACACACACACAGACACACACACAGACACACACAGACACACGCAGACACACACGCAGACACACACACACACACAGACACACACGCAAACACACACAGTTATACACACACATTAACAATCGCCATTCGCCACTAAGTGGCGGTGACGTCCACCACGACGCTTGTGCCAGGCTATGTGTACCCTGAGGCCACGTGAAGTGTCGAACGCCCGCTGGCAGGAGGTCACGGGGCAGACCCAGGTGCCACGGGTCGACTGACTGAGATGACTGGCTGATGCACCACCTGTGCCCCCTACTGTGCCAACCTGGCTGTGCTTTAGCCACCCGGCGCTCCGCTCGTTGTTGTGAGCGTCGCTCCTCCGCCCTCCGTTGTTGTTGGAGGGCGACTGGCCTCCACCTGCCCAGTAGCATCCTTCACGAGCCTCCTCCACAGAGGCCGATCTTGACACGCTGGTACCAGTCATCGGCAAGTCCACTCAGCCCCACGTCCTCCTGTACCACATCACTCCATCTCTTCTCTAGCCCGTGCTGCGCCCGCTTAGCCCCCTCAATCCGGCCGAAACAAAGCTGTTTCGGCATGCGGTGGCTGGGCATGCGGGCTACATGACCCAGCCATCGCAGCCTTGCCCGCCGGAGGAGCTCACCGATGGGACCTTGCCCAGATCTTTCAAGGATTTGTGAGCTCCTCACACAATCCAGTCTGGTTAAACCCAGGATGGATCGTAGGCAGGCCAGCCTAAATGTTTCTAACCGGCGAAGATGTTCCATTAGGGGGGTCCACGTTTCGCAAGCGTAGAGAAGGGAGGGAATGACCGTGGCCGAGAAGACCTGAATCTTAGTGCGGAGCGACAGACCAGGTAGCTTCCACACAGCGTTACACAACCGATGAAAAGATATTGCCGCTCGACTGATTCGGAGACCTCTGCTGTTAAACTGGAGCCAGTCATAAGCACACTGCCCAGGTATGGGAAACTCTCCACTCGCTCCACAACTGCCTCATCACCGATTGGGAGTTGTGGGGGTGGAGTGTCCGATGGTACAAAATACCCAGGCAGGTGCTTAGTTTTGGTGGGGCTGATGGTAAGGCCCCCACCTCTTAGTGGCACGCTCCAGTCTCAGCAGCAGCGTCTCCAACTCCTCCTCTGAATGAGCAGCTATTACCAAATCATCAGCATACATAACGTGGTTGAGCAATAGGGAGCCATCCCTTGACCGCACCCGGGCATCGATCAGCCTCCCATTATATCTGTACCATATGGAGATTCCCCCGGTACAGCTATTGAAGGCTTCATGAACTACGTGGTCAAAATAGATGTTAAATAATGTGGGAGCCAGAGGACATCCCTGTCGCACCCCAAGGTGTACAGGGAATGGCTCTGACTCCCGGCCACGTAGTTTTACCCGGGCCCGCTCACCATCATGAAGGTCCTTAATGATCGTGAGCAGAGGGTCAGGTACTCCAAAAGCACGAAGAACAACCCAGAGCCCAGGCCTACTGATGGCATCACAGGCCTTGACCAGGTCAATAAAGCAGAGATGTAGATCTTGTTGGAATTCCCTACACCTCTGCTGTAGCAGACGGACAGAAAATATGGCATCTGTGCAGGACCGCCCTTTCCTGAAACCGCATTGGGGCTCCGCAAGCCTCTCCTCAGCGTGCCTGGCAAGGCGATGCTGAATAATCCTTGCCAGGACCTTTCCCGGCACACTGAGGAGTGAGATGCCCCTGTAGTTGTTACAGTCTGTGCGGTCCCCCTTCTTAAAAAGGGGGACCACCAGGGCATCCTTCCAATCCTGCGGAACCCGTCCAGTGGTTCAGACTGTTGTTATGATGTCATATAGGGCAGTCTGTGCACAAACTCCACCCTCCCTCAGCATTTCACTTAGGAGATCATCTTTGCCCGCTGCCTTTCCTGGTCTCAGACTCCGGATCGCCTTCAGTACTTCCTCAGCAGATGGCACCTCAGCCAGCCACTCACAGGGGGTGACTTCTTCCAATATTTGAGGCACCGCAGCCTCAGCAGGGTCATCCTCACTTTGTGCCACAATGTTTTCCTGCCTGAGGGATTTTCCCTCCCCCAGGACCTCACAGAAATGCTCAGCAAATCTGCAAACCTGTTCCTGGGGGTCGGAGATTGGATCACCGTTTTTTCCCCTAATGATGGTAATAGGTGTGGCGCTGCAGGTTACTTTTTTGATGGAGTTAAATAGAGATTTGTGATCACGGGCCACTGAGGCAGACTCCATCTCCTCAGCAACCCGCGACCACCACCCATCCTTGCAGCGCCTCACGGCTCTCCGAACCTCCGAGCGAAGGCTGCGGTAAGCCTCCTCATTCTCTGACGTGGGATTCTGTAGCTGATGACAGTGGGCCTGTCGCTTTTTCTCAACACAGACACACACAGACACACATGCAGACACACACGCAGACACACACAGACACACACAGACACACACAGACACACACACAGACACACACAGAGACACACGCAGACACACACAGAAACACAGACACACAAAGACAAAGGTCCCCCGTGTAGCCTCTAGCAGGCTGTAGTGAGTGAGTGGGCGGGTGGGTGAGTGAATGGGTAGGTGAGTGGGTAGGTGAGTGGGTGAGTGAGTGAGTGGGAGAGTGGGTGGGTGAGTGAGTGAGTGAGTAGGTGAGTGGGTAGGTGAGTGGGTAGGTGAGTGAGTGAGTAGGTGAGTGTATAGGTGAGTGAGTAGGTGAGTAGGTGAGTGAGTAGGTGAGTGTGTAGGTGAGTGAGTAGGTGAGTAGGTGAGTGAGGTTAGTGGGTAGGTGAGTAGGTGAGTGGGTAGGTGAGTGAGTAGGTGAGTGAGTGAGTGAGTAGCTGAGTGGGTCGGTGAGTAGGTGAGTGTGTAGGTGAGTGAGTGAGTAGGTGAGTGAGTGAGTGAGTAGGTGAGTGAGTAGGTGAGTGAGTGAGTAGGTGAGTGAGTGGGTGAGTAGGTGAGTAGGTGAGTGAGTGAGTGAGTAGGTGAGTGAGTAGGTGAGTGAGTAGGTGGGTGAGTGAGTGAGTAGGTGAGTGAGTGAGTAGGTGAGTGAGTGAGTAGGTGAGTGTGTAGGTGAGTAGGTGAGTGAGTGAGTAGGTGAGTGAGTGAGTAGCTGAGTGGGTAGGTGAGTGGGTAGGTGAGTGAGTAGGTGAGTGAGTAGGTGAGTGTGTAGGTGAGTGAGTGAGTAGCTGAGTGAGTAGGTGAGTGAGTGAGTAGGTGAGTGAGTGAGTAGGTGAGTGAGTAGGTGAGTGAGTGAGTAGGTGAGTGAGTGAGTAGGTGAGTAGGTGAGTGGGAGGCTGAGAGTACTCACGACGGAGCGACACTCCCCATGCTGCACCAGAAGCACCTCCCTGCCAGTGGTGGCCAGCACGCTCACCGGGCCGCCCGGCACGCTCACCGGGCCGCCCGGCACGCTCACCGGGCCGCCCGGCACGCTCACCGGGCCGCCCGGCACCGGCAGCACGGCCCAGCAGCTGGGGCTAGGCAGGATCCCTAGCGGGGGCGTGGAACAAACCGTGTCTCACTACCCTGTGTCTCACTACCCTGTGTCTCACTACCCTGTGTCTCACTACCCTGTGTCTCACTACCCTGTGTCTCACTACCCTGTGTCTCACTACCCTGTGTCTCACTCCCATGTGTCTCACTACCCTGTGTCTCACTACCCTGTGTCTCACTACCCTGTGTCTCACTACCCTGTGTCTCACTACCCTGTGTCTCACTACCCTGTGTCTCACTCCCACGTGTCTCACTACCCTGTGTCTCACTACCCTGTGTCTCACTACCCTGTGTCTCACTCCCACGTGTCTCACTACCCTGTGTCTCACTACCCTGTGTCTCCTCCCCACGTGTCTCACTCCCCACGTGTCTCACTCCGTGTCTCACTCCCCGTGTCTCACTCCGTGTCTCACTCCCCGTGTCCTCACTCCCACGTGTCTCACTCCGTGTCTCACTCCACGTGTCTCACTCCGTGTCTCACTCCCCTGTGTCTCACTCCGTGTCTCACTCCCCCGTGTCTCACTCCCCACGTGTCTCACTCCCCACGTGTCTCACTCCCCTGTGTCTCACTCCGTGTCTCACTCCCCACGTGTCTCACTCCGTGTCTCACCTCCGTGTCTCATTCCCCTGTGTCTCACTCCCACGTGTCTCACTCCCACGTGTCCTCACTCCCACGTGTCCTCACTCCGTGTCTCACTCCCCGTGTCTCACTCCCCGTGTGTCTCCCCACGTGTCTCACTCCCCACGTGTCTCACTCCCCGTGTCTCACTCCGTGTCTCACTCCCCGTGTCTCACTCCCCGTGTCTCACTCCCCCACGTGTCTCACATCCCCACGTGTCTCACTCCGTGTCTCACTCCCCACGTGTCTCACTCCCCGTGTCTCACTCCCCCGTGTCTCACTCCCCACATGTCTCTCTCCCCACGTGTCTCACTCCCCGTGTCTCACTCCCCCGTGTCTCACTCCCCCGTGTCTCACTCCCCACATGTCTCTCTCCCCACGTGTCTCACTCCCCCGTGTCTCACTCCCCACGTGTCTCACTCCCCGTGTCTCACTCCCACGTGTCTCACTCCCCCGTGTCTCACTCCCCTGTGTCTCACTCCCCACGTGTCTCACTCAGTGTCTCACTCCCCACGTGTCTCACTCCGTGTCTCACCACGTGTCTCACTCAGTGTCTCACTCCCCCGTGTCTCACTCCCTGTGTCTCACTCCCCCGTGTCTCACTCCCCCGTGTCTCACACCCCACGTGTCTCACTCCATGTCTCACTCCCCGTGTCTCACTCCCCCGTGTCTCACTCCGTGTCTCACTCCCACGTGTCTCACTCCCCCGTGTCTCACTCAGTGCCTCACTCCCCCGTGTCTCACTCCCTGTGTCTCACTCCCCCGTGTCTCACTCCCCCGTGTCTCACACCCCACGTGTCTCACTCCGTGTCTCACTCCCTGTGTCTCACTCCACGTGTCTCACTCCCCCGTGTCTCACTCCCCCGTGTCTCACTCCCACGTGTCTCACTCCCACGTGTCTCACTCCCCACGTGTCTCACTCCCCCGTGTCTCACTCCCACGTGTCTCACTCCCCCGTGTCTCACTCCCCCGTGTCTCACTCCGTGTCTCTCTCCGTGTCTCACTCCCACGTGTCTCACTCCCCACGTGTCTCACTCCCCACGTGTCTCACTCCCCTGTGTCTCACTCCCCCGTGTCTCACTCCCCCGTGTCTCACTCCCCACGTGTCTCACTCCCCGTGTCTCACTCCCCCGTGTCTCACTCCCCACGTGTCTCACTCCCACGTGTCTCACTCCCCGTGTCTCACTCCCCTGTGTCTCACTCCCCACGTGTCTCACTCCGTGTCTCACTCCGTGTCTCACTCCCAGGTGTCTCACTCCCACGTGTCTCACTCCCCCGTGTCTCACTCCCACGTGTCTCACTCCCCACGTGTCTCTCTCCCACGTGTCTCACTCCGTGTCTCACTCCCCATGTGTCTCACTCCCACGTGTCTCTCTCCCCACGTGTCTCTCTCCCCACATGTCTCACTCCCCGTGTCTCACTCCCCCGTGTATCACTCCCCACGTGTCTCACTCCCACGTGTCTCACTCCCACGTGTCTCACTCCGTGTCTCACTCCGCGTGTCTCACTCCCACGTGTCTCACTCCCACGTGTCTCACTCCCACGTATCTCACTCCGTGTCTCACTCCCCACGTGTCTCACTCCCACGTGTCTCACTCCGTGTCTCACTCCCCACGTGTCTCACTCCCCACGTGTCTCACTCCGTGTCTCACTCCCCACGTGTCTCACTCCCACGTGTCTCACTCCGTGTCTCACTCCCCACGTGTCTCACTCCCCACGTGTCTCACTCCGTGTCTCACTCCGTGTCTCACCCCACGTGTCTCACTCCGTGTCTCACTCCCCATCGTGTCTCACTCCCCATGTGTCTCACTCCCCGTGTCTCACTCCCCGTGTCTCACTCCCCATGTGTCTCACTCCCCACGTGTCTCACTCCCACGTGTCTCACTCCCCACGTGTCTCACCCCCACGTGTCTCACTCCCCGTGTCTCACTCCCCGTGTCTCACTCCCCATGTGTCTCACTCCGTGTCTCACTCCCCCCGTGTCTCACCCCCACGTGTCTCACTCCCCACGTGTCTCACTCCCACGTGTCTCACTCCCACCTGTCTCACTCCCCTGTGTCTCACTCCGTGTGTCTCACTCCCCGTGTCTCACTCCCCACGTGTCTCACTCCCCGTGTCTCACTCCGTGTCTCACTCCACGTGTCTCACTCCCCCGTGTCTCACTCCGTGTCTCACTCCCACGTGTCTCACTCCGTGTCTCACTCCCCCGTGTCTCACTCCCACGTGTCTCACTCCCCACGTGTCTCACTCCCACGTGTCTCACTCCCACGTGTCTCACTCCCCCGTGTCTCACTCCCCGTGTCTCACTCCCCACGTGTCTCACTCCCCCGTGTCTCACTCCCACGTGTCTCACTCCCCCGTGTCTCACTCCCCCGTGTCTCACTCCGTGTCCTCTCTCCGTGTCTCACTCCCCACGTGTCTCACTCCCCACGTGTCTCACTCCCCTGTGTCTCACTCCCCCGTGTCTCACTCCCCACGTGTCTCACTCCCACGTGTCTCACTCCCCACGTGTCTCACTCCCCGTGTCTCACTCCCCCGTGTCTCACTCCCCACGTGTCTCACTCCACGTGTCTCACTCCCCGTGTCTCACTCCCCTGTGTCTCACTCCCCACGTGTCTCACTCCGTGTCTCACTCCGTGTCTCACTCCCACGTGTCTCACTCCCCTGTGTCTCACTCCGTGTGTCTCACTCCCCGTGTCTCACTCCCCACGTGTCTCACTCCGTGTCTCACTCCGTGTCTCACTCCCACGTGTCTCACTCCCCCGTGTCTCACTCCGTGTCTCACTCCCACGTGTCTCACTCCGTGTCTCACTCCCCCGTGTCTCACTCCCACGTGTCTCACTCCACACGTGTCTCACTCCCACGTGTCCTCACTCCCACGTGTCTCACTCCCCCGTGTCTCACTCCCCCGTGTCTCACTCCCACGTGTCTCACTCCCCACGTGTCTCACTCCCCCGTGTCTCACTCCCACGTGTCTCACTCCCCCGTGTCTCACTCCCCCGGTCTCACTCCGTGTCTCTCTCCGTGTCTCACTCCCCACGTGTCTCACTCCCCACGTGTCTCACTCCCCTGGTCTCACTCCCCCGTGTCTCACTCCCACGTGTCTCACTCCCCCGTGTCTCACTCCCCCCGTGTCTCACTCCCCGTGTCTCACTCCCCCGTGTCTCACTCCCCACGTGTCTCACTCCCACGTGTCTCACTCCCCGTGTCTCACTCCCCTGTGTCTCACTCCCACGTGTCTACACTCCGTGTCTACACTCCGTGTCTCACTCCCAGGTGTCTCACTCCACGTGTCTCACTCCCCCGTGTCTCACTCCCACGTGTCTCACTCCCACTGTCCTCTCTCCCACGTGTCTCACTCCGTGTCTCACTCCCCATGTGTCTCACTCCCACGTGTCTCTCTCCCCACGTGTCTCTCTCCCCACAATGTCTCACTCCCCGTGTCTCACTCCCCGTGTCTCACTCCCACGTGGTCTCAACTCCACGTGTCTCACTCCACGTGTCTCACTCCCACGTGTCTCACTCCCACGTGTCTCACTCCGTGTCTCACTCCGCGTGTCTCATACCACGTGTCTCACTCCCACGTGTCTCACTCCCACGTATCTCACTCCGGTCTCACTCCCCACCGTGTCTCACTCCCACCGTGTCTCACTCCGTGTCTCACTCCCCACGTGTCTCACTCCCCACGTGTCTCACTTCCGTGTCTCACTCCCCACGTGTCTCACTCCCACGTGTCTCACTCCGTGTCTCACTCCCCACGTGTCTCACTCCCCACGTGTCTCACTCCCCACGTGTCTCACTCCGTGTCTCACTCCCCACGTGTCTCACTCCCCACGTGTCTCACTCCGTGTCTCACTCCCCACGTGTCTCACTCCCACGTGTCTCACTCCGTGTCTCACTCCCCCGTCTCACTCCCCACGTGTCTCACTCCCACGTGTCTCACTCCGTGTCTCACTCCCACGTGTCTCACTCCCACGTGTCTCACTCCTCACGTGTCTCACTCCCACGTGTCTCACTCCCACGTGTCTCTCTCCCCACGTGTCTCACTCCCCGTGTCTCACTCCGTGTCTCACTCCCCATGTGTCTCACTCCACGTGTCTCACTCCGTGTCTCACTCCGTGTCTCACCCCCACGTGTCTCACTCCGTGTCTCACTCCCCACGTGTCTCACTCCCCACGTGTCTCACTCCCCGTGTCTCACTCCGTGTCTCACTCCCCACGTGTCTCACCCCCACGTGTCTCACTCCCCACGTGTCTCACTCCCACGTGTCTCACTCCCACGTGTCTCACTCCCCTGTGTCTCACTCCGTGTCTCACTCCGTGTCTCACTCCCACGTGTCTCACTCCCCCGTGTCTCACTCCGTGTCTCACTCCCACGT